AGCAGTGCCCAGAACCCTTACGCTCTGGGTGGACTGAGCTGTGTCCCCTGGAAGCGATGTTGAAGTCCTAACCCCTCTGGAGGCGACTTACTTAAAGACACGATCTTTGCAGACGTAACTGGTTAAAACCAGGCCGTACTGGCACAGGGTGGGCCCTAATCCAATGGCTGACACCTTTGTAAGAGGAAGTCGGTGTGAACCAAGACACACAGACCCAGGGAGAAGGCCCTGAGTGATGACGGAGGCGGAGGTGGAGACTGGAGCGAGGCAGGCATAAACCCGAAAAGAGGGGATTACCGGTCCCCTCCAGAACCTGCAATGAGGTGAGGAAGCCCCTCCCCCAGGGCTGGGCCCTCCCTACACCTGGGTCTCAGACTCTGGCCCCCAGGGCTGCTGGAGCTGAGGGCACGGTCTCCTTCTCGGGGGACGGGGCAGGGCATCAGGCTCCGCAGGAGTGGGAGATGCCGTGGGGCCTGCAGGGGAGAGAGGGGGACCCCGCCTGCATGTCCCACCGCTCTGTGCAGATCGTCCACTGGTGACTTCGGGAGCCTGTGTGTCTCAGTGTGAGGGGAGGGACTGCCAGCCGAGCTGCCCGTGGGCGGAGCACGGGCCGGTCCAGCTCCTATGTGGGCTGGGTGGTGAAGTCCAGGCCCAACAAGCTCGAGCTGGGAAGGTTCCGCAACCGGCGCTGCCAGCACCCTCCTCCCCCAGCCCGGCTCAGGAATCCCCGCGCCCCGCTCCTGACTCTCGGTGCAGCGCCCCGCTCGCCCACGCGCCCACACCCGGCCGAACGAGTCCCACACAGCTCCCTGGCGGCCTCCACACCCTGCCGGCTCAGCCGGCCCACTCGGCCCCCAGGCCTGACTCCCAGGAGCTCCCTGGCAGGCTTGATGCTGCCTTGGGCTGCCCTCCCTCCAAGGCGCCCCTCCCAGGCCCTCTCCCACACGTCCTCTCTGCCAGAGCTCGCAGAGACAGGACCTGGATAAACCCCACGTCACCTTCTCAGAAGCAGCCAACGACCCTCTGAGAGGCTCTGCCAGGGACGGTCCAGCCACACTGTCCACAGGTGCCGGCTTCCCTGGTGCCTGGCCGCTGCTCGGTGGGCAGTGGGGCCCTCCTGGGGCTCCCCGTGACCCCGCTGCCCCAGGCACTGCGCTCACAGCACCTTCCCAGGGGGCCGCACAGGCTGCCAGCTCCGAGCACCACCTCCCACGTCCCCTCCTTCTTTTACGCCACAGGATGCACTCCCACCTGGCATTAGAATGGTCACTTGGGATTTACTCACTCGTGGTCTGGCCTACACACCAGAACGTCCACTCCCCGTCTACCTTCTTCCCTACTGAGCCCCCAGTGCACCCCAAGGGCCACAAAAAATCCGTGCGAAATGAGTGATTATGTGAACCCTTTCCTTGGGCCTAACCTGACCTGGCAGCGTAGGCGGGGCCTGGGCAGGGGACAGGAGGGTGGCCCAGGAGACGGGCAGAGGAAGAGAGGTGGCCTGCGAGCCGCGGTGGAGGGGATGGGAGGCCAAGCAGGGCTCCCCGTGGGCAGACGCTCTGGGACTCGGCCTAGGAGGCCCACTGGGCTGGGGCCAGAATCAGGTGTCCCTGAAACTGCACACGGGGCCAGCTGCTCCCGCCTACATTACACAGCAGGGCGGCGGATGGCGAAACCCTCCTGCGTCCCTCTGAGCACGCCCCGCCTCCTCTGCTTCCCCTCCCCACCCGGGCTCCAGGAGAGGGCCCCCCAAGCCCCTCCTCCTACCCCTTCCGCCACTGCCACCAGGCCAGCGTGTACTTGGCAACAGAAAGTGAGTAACCACCTAACTTTCTTAAAAGGAACCAGGGAGACATGCAGCGCGTGCTGCCATGTGCTACACCGGGTGGTAGACGAACCGGGTCCCACCGCGCCCTGCATTGTCTGTCGGGCTGGAGTCGGAGCGGCGGGGCGAGACCTGCAGTGCCGGCCCAGAGCCCCCCGCAGGAAAGCCTCTGGGGGCGTCTGCTCTGCACACACCAACCCTGGCCCCAGCAGCCCCGCCCCAGGCGCCCCCAACAGCAGCGCACCTTCTGTGCGGCGCATCCCTCGCCCAGAGTGCACGAGCCGCGGTCTGTGCGTGACCCGCACGGGCACCTCCCTGGCGCCCGCCGCGTGAGCCAGGGAAATGACACGTGCACTGCATGTCCCGGTCCCTAGGAGACTGGGTGAAAGGGACAGTGTCTCCAACCTACTGTCAATGGGTTAGGAAACCAGTACCTGGAAGGAAGGACATGTGTGCAGACAGACAGATGAGGGGGCGGGCGGGGAGCCACAGAGCGAACGGGGCCAGTGCAGCTGAGTGGAGGTCACACAGGCGGCCCCGACTGTTTTTCAGCTGCTTGCTAAGTAGTCAATTAGATGAAAATTACCCAGAACAGACGCTGAGGGCCGCGGGGGTGGCCAGCACAGGCCGAGGAGCCCCGCGTGGGTGTCTCCCGGACGTCCACTCCCTGGCGAGCCCCAGCACGCCCACCAGGGGAGGCACAGGGAGATAAATTGGGGTGCAACCCCCCAGTGGAGTTCTACCGAGAACGCGACTCCCATCCCGGAACTCCAAGCTGCGGACAAGTGTCACAGACACAGGGTTGCACCCGGGGGTCAGACACTGAGCAGCTGGAGTGGCTGTTCGGAGCAGGGGCAGGACTTGGGGGTGACTGGCAGCTGCACTGGGGCTGCGGGAACTGTCGCTGTTCTGTCTGGCTGGAGGCGCTTGCTCCGTTTGGGGTCCTACACTGAGCAGAGCCCCTGGAATCTGTGCCTCTTCCTGTGCACATGAGTCACTGGGTCGGCCGCAAAGTCTGTTCGCCCACACGCGGGCTGTAGGGGGCGCACTTTCTGGTCTTTAAGCTCCTTGGAAACACTTGTTAGAATGTGTGGTAACAGCTGTCCTATCAGCATGCATTTTTTAAAAAAGTATCAAATTGAGTGAATTTTTGTGCAGCGATTTTAGTACCGAAGATAGAAGAAAATACGCAACATTTTCGGCATATCACGCTCTATTCTTTCAAGAAAGGCAAAAACACAACTGAAACACAGGAAAAGACGTGTGCAGAGTACAGAGAAGGTGCTGTGACTGATGGAACGTTCGGAAGTGGTTTGTGAGGTTTTATGCCACAGGTTTCTCACCAGACTGTGCTCCACGGTCGGGCAGACCCGTTGAGGTTGACAGTGATCAAATCGAGACATCAACTGAGATTAACATTGCACCATGAGGGACAGAGCCCATGTACTCAAAATATCCAAATCCATAAAGTTATCGGTGAAAATGAAAACTGTGTCTTTTATTTTACAGAAAAAACTAAATGAACTTTTTTGGCCAACCCAATATTTCAAGAAAAGGCTTCTCTATACTTTTTTAAAATGAAAAACAAATTCAGCATTTCATCAGCAGGCATTAGGCTGCAGTCACACGAAGATGAGGAGAATGTTCCGGGCCCCCGGGAAGCGTGGCATCCGTGGCAGGAGCCTGAGGCAGCGCCCAGGGGCTGGGCCAGGAGGGCTGGACGGAAGGGCAGGGGCTGCCGGGCCAGGCCCCTGCACGGCCCGCTCACACCCTGGGGCGGGCCTGGGCCTGGGCCCCGTCCTCGGAGGCGGACAGTGGGGAGCGTGTGGTGCCGGAGATGCAGGGAACGAAGGGCCAGCACACAGAAAACCTGCGTCCAGGAGCTAACATCTGCCGCCCCCGGCGCCCCCACCCCCACCCCGGGTCTCCAGCCCCAGCTGGGTGGCGGTGAAACTCAGCAGCCGCCGTGCCCCCAGCTGAGAGGGACCAGGCTCGCTGCATCCCAGAGACCAGCCCCACCTCCGCCCAAGGAGCCACACCCTGGCGGTGGTGTGAGGGGCTGAGCGAATTCCCATAAGCCATCCCCAACCCCGCACCCCAGCAGGAGTGCAGGCGAGCAGCCCGGCCCACATTCCTCCACCAGGGGCGGCTGCAGCCTCAGGCCTGGGCGCCCGACCCACAGAGCCGGGTGCTGACCCTGCACGCCCTGAGACCCAGATTCTGGGCCAGGGCGCCACGGGAGGGGCTCACGCCCACCCAGGGGCAACGCTGGCCCCAGGGCAGCCCCTCTCGTCAGGCCCCCACCTGGTGGGGTCCGGTGTGGGCAGTGAGCCACGTGGAAATCAGGCCAAGGCAGCCTGGCTCTGGAAGTTTCCCTTCAACAGGCGGGACTCACCTGTGTGCGTCTGCCCAGCACTGACCCTCTTGCCTAGGAACTCTGCTAAAAACTAAGGAGGGAAAACAATGACCAGTGGCCCAGGACTAAAACAGCCCCTGCGGTGGAGGTGAACTTCCAGTCAGCACCCTCAGATCCAAGGAGGACCGGCCCCTATGGGGCCGGGTTTCCTCAGCAGGAACCCGCCAGAGCCCAGGGACCCACGTGGCCAGTGGCTTTCACGTCCGTGGCTTGTCCCGGGAGGTCGATGGGTGCTCTTTGATGAAGCCCCAAGACTCTACAAGACCACTTCCCCAAACAGTGCGTCTGGCGAGCACAGGGCCAACACGCCATTTAAGGCCAAGGGCAGAGAAGAGCAGCTTTAGTAGTTGGGCATACACTGAAGTCATTTCACCTTGGAGCCAAAAAAGCCTGGAATGCTTTGTGGACCTCCCAGAGGGGCAGAAACCCCCGGTCTCACACTCGGGGAGGGACCGAGGCTCCTGCCAACAATGAACACAGAACTGGGCCCAGAGCTGCTGGGAGGGGGGGGGGCGGCGCAGGCGGGCCTCCCAGAAGAGGGGCTCTGAGCCGTGCTCCTTCGAGTACAGGCCGGTTCTGACAGACAGCCCGTGATTACCGGGGGGAGGGCAATGACAGAGGCCCCGCCAGGTCTGTGTGGGGAAGCCCCGGTGAGTCAGACTATGGGAGGCGCCAGGAGGGCGGGCCCGTGCATCCGCCCGGGTTTATAGCAGCGGCCCGGGCGCGGGGCACACTGGAACGCCCAGCCGCTGAGCGAGCAGCATGTTCCCCACGCTGCTTCTGCTACCCAGCCTCCTGGGGGCCTCACTGGCCAGCCCCATCCAGGGCCCCCGGGAGTGTGCACAGGGCTCGGCCGAGTGGTGTCGGGACTTGCAGGCGGCAATGCGGTGTGGGGCCGTGGGGTACTGCCGGAGTGCCGTCTGGAGCAAGCCCACCGCCAGGTCCCTGTCCTGTGACCTGTGCCTGGATGTGGTGGCCGCAGGCAGCAACGGGCTGAACCCCAATGCCACGGAGACCGACACTCTGGCTTTGGTGACAAGGTCCTGTGAGTGGCTTCCCGGCCAGGACTCTTCGGTCAGATGCAAGGAGATGACAGATGCCCACAGCTCGGCCATCCTGGACATGCTGCGGGGGGACCCGGGCAGCGCCCCAGCACAGGTGTGCACCGCGCTCACCCTCTGCCAGCCACTGCAGAGGGTCCTGGCCACCCCAGGGCCACTCTCCGAGGAGGACACATCCGAGGTGGTGGCCCCATTCATGGTCAGCGAGCCCCTCAGCCCCAACCCCCTGCAGATTCCTGAGGACACTGTGTGCCAGGACTGTGTCCAGCTGGTCGCCCGGCTCCAAGACGCTGTGGGGTCCAACATGTCCAGCCTGGCAGAAGTGACCACCCAGGAGCAGTGTAAGTCCCTGGGGCCAGGCCTGGACCTCCTGTGCAAGAACTACATCCTTCGCTTTCTCACCCCTGCTGAGCACATGCTGAGGGTCGTCCTGCCCGAGGAGACCTGCGAGAGGGGGGGCTTCTGTGAGGAGATGCGGGGGCCCGCCACAGACGCGGTCCCTCCCCTGGAGCCGCTGTCCGCGAGGGAGAGGAACGAGGTGCTGATGAAGGCCGGCCTGACCTGTGACGTGTGCCTGCAGGTGGTCCAGGAGCTGGACCAGTGGCTGGACTCCGACAGCACGGAGGCCCTGATCCGCCGAGGCCTGGAGCGCGTGTGCTCAGTGATGCCCACGTCCATCGTGCGGCAGTGCGTCACCATGGTGGACACCTACAGCCCCGCCCTGGTGCAGTTCGTGACCAAAGTGCCCCCAGAGGACGTGTGCAAGGCCATCCGGCTCTGCGGTGCCCGGCGGCAGGCCCGGGCCATCCATGAGGCCTACAAAGCCACCCTGCCCCCCTTGCTGGACACACAAAACCAGGGACACTTCTGCAATGGGTGCCGGAGGCTGCTGGGCGTGTCCACCCAGAACCTGGACCGCAAAAACACCCAGCGCAACATCCTGAAGGCCTTCAAGGGCGGCTGCAGCATCCTGCCGCTGCCCTACCTGATCCAGTGCCGCCGCTTCGTGGACGAGTACGAGCCCGTGCTCATCGCGACCCTCAAGGAGGTGATGGACCCCCTCAGCCTGTGCACCAAGGTGGGCGCCTGCCACGCCTCCAGGACCCCGCTGCTGGGCACCGACCAGTGCGTCATGGGTCCGAGCTTCTGGTGCTCGAACCAGGAGGCGGCTGAGATGTGCAATGCCATGGAGCACTGCCAGCGCCACCTGTGGGGAGTGGCACCCTTCCACTCGGGGGAGCATGCGTGACTGTGGCCCCCAGCGACCCCGGGGGCCCTCACCTCCTTGGCTCTGGCAGGGACCCTCTGAGACAGGCACTGCTCCCACTCCCCCATCACAGATGAGAACCAAGGCTCTGGGCGGGCAGCTGCAAAGAGCAGCGCTGAAGTCCCCGGTCACCATCTTGGCGGTCGCGCCGTGTGGCTCTGCCCATGTGAGTGTCCCCCGGGGACTGGAACCAAAGGCTGGGCACGGCCCCGCCCCCACCCACCACCCCCAGCCTCCATCGCCACGACGGTGCTGATGGGTGGGGGCCCATCGTGGCCTCTGCTGCCCTTCCGTGCTCTGCCAAGCAGCCTGGCGGCAAGCCAGGCAGGGCAGAGGGCAGGAGAGAACAGCCGTCCTGGGTGGGGTCCCTCTTGTCCAACAGCTGGGGGTGCAACTGGGTCTCATCCACAGCTACTATCACTTGGCTCAGAACAAAGCTTCTCCACCCCAGGGTCCCGGGGGTGGCCCCAAAAGCGTGCACCAGTGTGACTCTCTGTGGGTCATCCTGGGAGGAGGCTGGGGCTGTGACCACACCCCGCAGGGGTACCTGGGCTCAGAGCAGGCCTCCCAGGCCTCTGCCCACCGGGGGCCCCCAGACACCGGCTGTGGGACCACATGGCGCTGAGCACGTCCTCTCACTACCGGAGCCCCAGCTTTCCAGTCTGCAGGGAGGTGTGACCAGACACACCTCATGGGGACAGTGACACACTCCCAAGAGAAGCCCGAGAGCTCCTCTCCCAGAGACCCCCCCAGTCTGCAGGGCCGAAGACTGGCCCGGGGTCCCTGGGAGACTGTGGCTGTGCACGTGCGAAATAAACCAGACAGTCCCCAGCGCCGTCTGCTGTGTCCTCATTCTCGGGGCAGGCAGCTCCCTGTGCCGAGCGACCCGGCCCCTTCCTGCCTTGCCCCTCCTGGGGCAGCCTGCCCCGACACGCTCTGCCCGGTTCACACTGTCAGTCTCCCCAGCACACCATGAGCCCCTTGGGGACAGCACAGGGCATGACCCCCCTGTGTCTCGTGCCTGGCACAGGGCTGGCACACGGTAGGTGCTCAAGCACGAGGCCTGGCCAGGTGAGGCCTAGCAGCTGCCTCCAGGTGAGCCCTGTGGAATGAGAGGAGAGGCGTTTGGCCTGGGTGGGCAGGGACCTGAGTGGGTGCTGCGTTCTGAGAGGCCACACCTGAGCTCTTGGGTAAACAGCCCAGGCCCTGGCCACTGCCCCAGGAGGACAGGTGTGCTGGGCCTGAGTTCCCAGATTCCCCAACACTGGTGCGCGCGGGCTGGCCGGGGCCCACTGGTTGGGCTGTGAGCACAGCAAAGGGCTGGTGATCACGTGGCCACAGGCAGGCGGCTGTGTGTCGGATCCTGAAGCGCAGGTGTCTAGGGACGGAGGGGCTTGCACACCTGAAGACTGGCCCCGGAGGCCGTCAGTCTGCCAGCGATGTCCCCTCTGTGACAGGACGGAGCTGCACCCCACCTCTGGCCCTCTCTGCGAGACACCTGCTGACAGCTGTATGACGGGGCAGCTTCCCGGGTGCCACTAGTCATACGTGGCTGGGCTGTGGGAGGTCAGGGGGGGACACCAGGTCTCACAGGTGACCTGTCCATGCAGAGCTGAGGTGCTCTCAGGCGCCTGCCATCCTGAGCTCACCCACCTGCCCCAAACCCAAGCTACCTGTGGTGGGCAGGTGGGTCCCCCCACGCCCCTCACTCTGTCCACCACACCCCACACCTGGGAACCAGCTGACGGCATGTGATCCCAGCCAGGGCTCCCCATGTGTCAGTGGTCCAGGGACAGCGGCCACTGGTCCCCTCAAGAGGGCTTCCCACATGCCCCGGCCGGGCCCTGCCCCCAGGAACTCCAAGGCTGAACAGCCCTGCCGGCCCTCCACAGCCACCAGAACAGTGACGCCATTCTGGCCAGCACCCCGTCAGCCCAGCACAGCGGCCCGGGGAGGGTGTGGCTCCTGGACACCCCTCCCTCCAGTTTCTCCAGGCCCAGAGCCCCAGGATGCTCATGGGAGATCCCAGAATTCTTCGGTGCTGACAGCTGGATAACACGGTTATAAAGTCCACATCCCTCCAAGCCAAACAGGCCTGGAGGCTGGGCCTGCCTCTGGGCCACCAGCTGGGGACTTCCGCGGGTGGGAATGTCCTGCTGCATGGAATGGAATGTCCCCATGGGCCCCCAGCAGCCCCCTGATGGCTCAGGGCCCTGGACGTTTCTTCCGGGTTCTCCCCCAGCCCAGGAAGAGGCCGTGACTGCTCTGGTGTTACGCTCCGGTGGGGAGAGGCTGGGGCCCCGGGAGCCACCGTGTAGGAGGAGGAAAGGCACGCGAGGGGAAAGTTTCACTACGCCCAAACCAGTCTCTCAGGCCGGCCTTCCCATGGTGGGACCAGATCGGGAAACTGCAGGCACAGAAGAGGGGACAGGCCCCCCACAGGCTGTCTATTCAAATGTCACTGACCCGTGGACCCAGAGAGAAGCTGCATGCATTGCCCAAAGCCACTCAGGGCGGTCACTGCATAGCCATCAAGGGGCAGGGGTTGGGGTCGCCAGATGAAATGGCACACACAGGCTCTTCCATGGCCGGGGTGGCTTAGGTGGTTCGGACTTAGAAGAATCTGGAACGTGAACTAATGAAGAAAGCCAGAGAGGCGTTGCCTGCAGCCCTCGGAGCCCCGCCCACGCAGGGCTCCACCTTCGCCTGCCCAGTATCCCTACCCCACCCCAGCCCGCGAGGCCAAGGTCAGGGGAAGGGCAGGTCTGGCGCCCCCTCCTGCAGCTCCTGCACCCACACAGGGAGACACAGCGCCCGCCCGGCCCTGCAGGACGAGGTGGGGGCAGGGGCCATAGGGAGCAAGGGCCTCGCACCCTGACTTTATCTTTTGTTTAAACTGACTTTTTAAAGATTTTATTTACTTGTTTTTAGAGGGGAGGGGAGGGAGGGAGAGAGAGGGGGAGAGAAACATCTGTCGGCTGCCTTTCACCCTTTCCACATGCCCGGGGGCCTCGCCCACTGCCCCCCCACCCCAGGCTGGCCGGGCGCTCACTCCCCATTGGACTAGAAAGGGCTGCCCCCTCTCCCACTCCTCCAGGACTGGCAGTGGCCTGAGGGCAGCCACACGGGAACAGGGGTCAAGAGTGGTGACGGAGGTCGAAGGTCACACCCTGGAAGAGCGGGTACCTCCAAAAGTGGCCCCCACCCATAAGTGCCACCTCCCCTCCGCAGAGCTCAGGCTGCAGGCTCAGAAACAGCTAGTGACCTGCCTCCGGTCGCTCGTCAATGGCTGAGCTGGGATGTGGGGCGGAAATGGGTGCCCGCCATTCTCCCACACTATAACAGCCCTCAGCTTCCCCCCAGACAAAACAGCCCCAGCAGCACGATAAAACCAGCCATGCACCTGGCTGCGTGCTGAGCAGACTTTCCCAATGCCGTCCTGCTGCAGCCGCTCCTGCTCTGTGGACCAGGGAACCAGGGCTCAGGGCACCAGCACTGGGCCTCCCCCACCCGACGCCACTCAGTCGCCTGCACGCCCACCAGATCCTGCTCTCCCACAAGCAGGCTTATGGCTCCATCCTTCAAAGCGCACTTGGGCGAGGCTCATTACATAAGCAAAAACAAAGACAGTTTTTCATATGCCTTCCACCCAGGGAGTTCTGCTAAAATGCATTAAGTCCCCAGGGCAGAGTGTGGCTTTAATGCAAAGGGTAGGAGACGGCAGGAAATGTGGGGCGGGGTGCAGAATCAGAGTGGGGGAGTTTGGGTCCCACGGCAGACCCAGCCCCTCCAGGGACCACAAGGAACGGAGCTCTGCACTCCACAGGGTCCAGGAGGGCAAGAAGAAGGGGGCTTTGTGGTCTAAGCTCTTGGTCCAACACCACCTGCCCCCTCGTTCTGCCCGGCCAGCTGCCTGACCCTGCCCCTCTGAATGCAGCAGCCACGTCCGTGACAGCTCTCTGCCCCCATGGCCATGCACAGCTCTCCGCCGCCTACGGGGCGGAGGCCTGCCTCCAGGCTGGCACAGGAAGCCTGCCTGTCCGGGCACCTCTGACCCCCCAGCCCAGGCCTGCCCCCCTGCTCACTTCACAGGTCAGACGCTCCAAACTTGTCCGGTCTGTCCCCCACCATGCTCTCCACACCTCCGAGTCTCTGCCCGCAATGTGTCCTCTGCCTGTCAGCCTGGAAAACTCCTCTTCATCCTTCAAAGCCCAGTTCAGACATCACCTCTTCCGAAACACCCACTTACCCTCCCCTCTGGGCTCCTCGGCACTAGATGTTGGCCGCCCGCCTCAGTCTCTTCCTCCGTGGCAAGGCCGGGGTCCCCTTCCTGGCCAGCTCTAAGGCCCGGCAAAGTGCTCTGATGCTCGAGAAATGTGTACAGAGTTCGATCATCGGAAATTGTCTCTTCGCGTCTTAGGTTCGGTGCTGGTGTCCCAGTCAGGCCCTCCCGTGACCAGAGACACGGAGATAGCTAGTGGGTCACTGTCCTGGACATCTTCATGTTCTGTGTGGTCAGTACAGCAATGGACCCTAACGTGGTCACACCCTACAGACTGGAGCTTGGGTGCAGGTCACCTTATGGGCAAAAGGGACTTGGCTGATGTTACTCAGTTAAGAGCTTTGACACCACTGGTTCCTTCAGAGAAGCTTCCAAGCTCTGGCCACAGAGAAAGAGCGGGAAAGCAAAAGGGTCAGAGAGGGTGAGACCCAAGGGCTGTGAAGGTGGAGGGTGGGCTGGGAGCCCAGGAATGGGGCTGGAGGCTGGGAAAGGCAAGGGGAGGGACTCCCCCTGGAGTCCAGGGCAGGGACGCCACCCGGTCAGCACTTTGATTCTGGCTGGTGAGACCCACACGAGACTCCTGCCCCCCAGGACCATGTGACAATAAACCTGTGTTGTTTTAAGCTGCTAAGTATATGATGATTTGTTACAGCAGCAAAAGAAAATGAGCCTGCCCCGTGCTCCAGCTGGCTGCTTACCACGGGGTCCCTCACACCCTGGGCACTTCCTTTCCCCGGCTCCACCTGCCCCTCTCTGCCCAGTGAACTTCTATTCATCCTTCAGATCCCATTTCCCAGCATGCCCTGCGGTAGGCCTGGCGCCACGTCCCCAAGGCACAGCCGTGTCCCACGGCACACACCCTGGGGGGCACCATCTGGGTTGTCTGCCCTCCCGGGGTTAGGGGGATCCTGGAAGGCAGGCGCCCGGGCTGTGTTCCCCCTGAATCTCCATCGCCTAGAACAGCACCCGATGCACCGCAGGGCACCAGGAAGCAGCTGGTCAACGACTAAGGCTTGGGGTGGTCAAGGTCAGGGACGTGTATCCGGTCACGGGACCTGTAGGCCAGCAGCCCCCCCCTTGCCTTGCTGCCCCAGCTGTCCCCTTGCTGGGGGTGCAGCTGCACCAGGAATTTATCTCAGCTCCTCCACTAAGGGTCTCTGCTCGCCGGCACCATCGATATCAGCCTCAGAGCCCTCCATGCACCCTGCAGTCCGACACGCGGGGAAGCAAGTCTGGGCTTTCGAGTTCATCCTACACCCTGTTCTGAACGTTGTCCCACACCCGGTACGACCCTGGGAACATAATCAGAGGCGTGGGGATGACACGTGTGCAGGCCGCTCCCCGCGGCTTCTTCCCATCGCGGGGCAAGGGGGACGCAGAGGCGGGAACTTGAGAGTCTGAGGTCTCCCTCCGCGGAGCATGCGCAACTCGGCCTCTAAAAATAGTGGCCCTGAAAATAGGCGGAGGGCGCGGGAAGACATTTCACACACAG